ATTTGAGGAGAGTATGCTCGATGAAGGGCTCCTTCCAGACATCTGAAGATTTATTCTTCTGGATACATAAGCCTTGGGGGAAAAACTGCCCACTTTCGATGGAAAATTTTGTAAAACATACCACGTACACTTGCCTGTCTTGTGGAAGAACACGTGTTTTCTCTGGGTGCCTCAGGTGGGTCCCTTAGAAGAATAGCTCTTGTTGCCTGTATCTGGGTGATGGGAGGTGGGTCCCTATAAGGGTGGACCCCATGCCCAGAAGGCCCAGAATAGGCAGCTGTGTCTCTGGCTTCCCTCTGCCTGTGAGCCCCCGCTCGGGGTTTAGAGGGTATCCTGTCCCCTGGACAGCCCACCTCTGCTCTTTCCAGTCCCTTGAGCTGTCAGCAGGAAGAAGTAAACATTTCTTGGTGCTGCTGAAGACCCAGGCTTGTTAAGTCAGAAAATTTGAGTTTATATTCCAATTGAAAAGCTTCTTAAAAGACTCCATACTTCTTCTAGGAAGGCAAGCATTTAGAAAATGGACACTTCCCGACAGCTGTTTCTCTTCCAGCAAAGATGTCTTCCATTAAAAGAACCCCCCAAACAACCCTTTTAATAGAATGTTTCACACACACACACACACACACACACACACACACACACACACGCAGAGAGAATTGTACATTCAAGCGCTTGTATCCTTCACCCAGCTTCAATAATTATGAATATTTCACCAATCCTGTCTCATTTCTCTGGTCCCTCCACCCTTTTTCTGGTTTTGTTTTTGCTGGAATGTCTTAAAGCAAATCTCAGGTTTCCCATAATTTTACCCATAAATATTTCAGCATGAGTCTCTAACAAGATAAAGACATTTTAAAACATAATCATAATGCCTTGATTATACCTAACAAAATTCATAATATTACAGAGGCCCAGAATCCAGCTGTATCTCAGCTGGCCGTGGATAAATGCGGTCTTTGTGGTCTTTTTGTATTAGATTTACTAAGGTCTTTTCAGGACAATCAGCAAAAACTTCTGCTTTGACATAACTTCGAACTCACAGGAGGTTTGCAAGAAGAGCACAAGGAATTCCTATATACTTTTCATCTATATTGCCCAAATGTTAACATTTTACTATATTGGCTCTATCCTTCTCTCTAGATCTATGTATTTTTTTCCCTGAATCATTAGTATGTTACAGATATGATGTCTCAGTATCCCTAAAAAATTCTCTTACATAACTACAGTGCAACTATCAAACTCAGGAAATGAACATTTGTGTAGGGCTATTATCTAATCCGCAGACCTTATTGAGATTTTTCCAGTTGTCCCCATGACATCCTTCAGAACAAAAGAAAACCTTGGATCAGCTCAGCTGTCACATCTCTTTCATCTTCTGACATCTGGAATAGTCCGCGAGTCTCTCTTTGTGTCCTATAACGTTCGTGTCTTTGGCACGTTCTGGTCAGCTCTCTTGTAGAAGGCCCCTCAATTCCAGATTATCTGACAGTTCCTCCAGATTCAATTCAGGTTATGCTTTCTTGGCACGAAGACCACAGAAGTGATATTTTGTCCTTCCCAGTTCATTGTAGCAGGGGGTATACGATGTCCATTTGTCCCATTGTCCCATTACGGGTACTAACTTTGATTGCTTAAGGTGGGATCTGCCAGGTTTCTCTACTGGAAGTTCCTATCTTTCCCTTTTAAATTCAGTAGCTTGTGAGAGGATACATCGAGACTATGAAAATATCTTGTTGTTTCTCAAACCCCTCCCTCCCCAATTTTAGTACTCATTGGTGATTTTTGCCTGAAACCATAATTATGGTGACCAAATGGTACATCATTTTTTGTGTTTATTAGTTGGATTTATAGTATAAAGAAGAATTTCTCCCTCTTTCCCATTTATTTGTAGCAGTGTGAACTCTTGATTCTTATTTTTTAAAAAGGTTGTAGACCTTTGCTTTCATTATTTTTTTGATGCTCAAATTCTCCAAGATTTATCCCGTGGGAGCCCTTCCACTTTAGGCGCATCATCATTCTTTGATTACTTCTTTTTTTTGATGTTTATTTATTTTTGAGAGAGTGAGCGAGCAAGCGAGCACAAGCGGGGGAGGGGCAGAGAGAAGGAGACAGACTCTGAAGCAGGCTCCAGGCTCTGAGCGGTCAGCACAGAGCCCCATGTGGGGCTCAAACTCATGAACCGTGATTTCATGACTTGAGCCGAAGTTGGACACCCAGCCAACTGAGCCACCCAGGTCCCCTTTACTTATTAACTTTCTGGCATGACTAGATGCTATAGGCTCATCTTATCCTTTCCATGTTCCAGACCTGAAATCTGCCATTTCTTCAAGAAGACCTGAACTCTCACTCTCTCTCTCTGTCTCTCTCTCTCTCTCTCACACACACACACACACATCCATCCATCCATCTATCCATCCATCCAACCAACTAAAACCATGATGAGTCCTGTGGTCTTATTATGGTAGATTTGCTAATTCACTCCCACAGACTTCATTCTGTTCTTCCCCTTTCCATAATTGTAACTTCCTTCTCACACAGTGAGGAACCTGCTCCCCATTATTCATAGTATATTTACTTGTAGGATGAATCCTCAAATGTTCAGAAAGTTATTTCAGAATTGCTCACCACCATCTTGGGAAGGAAGCATAGTAACTACAGTCAATTATTTGTTTAAAGTTTGGTTTTGTTTTTGTCTTTAGCCCGAAGACAAAGCAGTCTGAATCCTATGTTCAAATGCCACTGGGTTAATTTTTTTCCTGGGGAATTCGATCATTCAAAACTATTCTGTTCAAATAGTTTTCTGTTCATCTATTTCTGTTTGTATTCTATCTCAGGGTTTTCCCAATCTTTATTGACTGTATTTATCTTCTTTATTTTCACTATATGAGTCATTAACATGATTCCCCAAACCAAAACGTCCAAATAGTTATGCTCAGAGCATGTCAGACCCCCAGCGCCTACGATTTTTTTAGCCTTTCTACCTCATTCCCACCAATGCCCTGTAGGTAAGTCATCTCAATAGTCCCTGGTGTTTAGTTTTGCACAAATAAGCAGATAGACGCATATTCCCTTACTTCCCCAGATTTGTTACACAAAAGATAACATACTAAGCATACTACAGATTCTCTTTTGCACTATCAAAAAACACGGGGCACCTGGGTGGCTCAGTCAGTTAAGCATCTGACTTTGGCTCAGGTCATGATCTCACGGTTTGTGAGTTCGAGCCCCGCGTCGGGCTCTGGGCTGACAGCTCAGAGCCTGGAGCCTGCTTCGGATTCTGTGTCTCCCTCTCTCTCTGCCCCTCCCCTGCCCATGCTCTGTCTCTATCGCTCAAAAATAAATAAACATTAAAAAAATATGGGGGCACTTGGAGGTTCAGTCAGTTAAGCATCTGGCTCTTGATTTCAGCTCAGGCCATAATCTCCAGGTTCCTGAGATCAAGCCTGCGTCAGGCTCTGCACTGACAGTGTGGAGCCTGCTTGGGATTCGCTCTCTCCCTCTCTCTCTCCTCCTCCCCTGCTCATGCTCACGTGCACTTTTAAAAAGTATGTTAAGGCACCTATGGCTTGTTCAGTTTTCACATTTTCTTGCCGTTTCCTATCTGTCCCTGACTCCCTATGACTTAAGAGAACTCACGCAATCCTAAATTCACAGAGATGAAACTGTGTAACGTAACAACACAGGAGTTGGTTTTTTAGTGACCTTTGTCCTCTGCTAGACAAACATTCTCAGTCAAGAATCTGAGAAGAAGCCCCAAACCCAGCACGGATGGAAAATGCCACAACCAAACCCGAGATCCGTGTTTAAGCAACAGTCTCCGAGCCAGCCGTCCTTTCCTATTAACAGAGCTGGGCGCCCAGAAACAAAATAACAGGGTCTGGAACGGGCATCTTCGCGGAGTTTTGTAGGTTTAAAGACCTGAAAGAAAAGTCAAGCAGATGCTCTTTCTACACAAGCCTGCCACCGTCACTTTACTATACCTTGCTTGCCGACAGCCCAGTCCTCCTGAGCGTGGTTCCCCGGGAGAAGGAGGCCTCTGGGACCTGTGCTTTCTTGGCCGGTAACAGGATGCACCTGCTTAGAGCTCCAGCCTGGGGGACGCACAGCACAGCTGTTTTTTCTCAGCCCGAACAAGCTAGATTTAGCAGGAAAGGAGTGGGGGAGGGAGGGAAGAGGAAGGAACGATTCCACACCTGTCCCTGTACTTTTCAGGATCTCTCCTCCCAGGGACTCATAGGCAGTGGAAAGAACTTGAGTGGAATTTTTCTCAGTTCGTTGGGGCTTAGGGGGTGGCTCTTGATTGCTGTTATAGACAAGCCTGCCTGCATCCAGTTAGGGATGGACCCACAAGCAGAGAACCCAACAGAGGCAGTTAATGTAAGCCATTACCACCTCTGCCCTGCCATCCCAAGCTTTGTCTAGATTCAAAAGAGCTGGCTAATACATTTTTGGGATGTATGTGTAACTCATCCCTGATAAGACCAGGCCAACTCAGTGGGGACTCTACCCTGTTCAGACTGCAGAACAATTATCTGCCCAATAGTCTAGGTGTGGACACGAGCTATAGGGACGAGCTGCTCAGACCATCTCTGGAAGCAGGTAGAGGCTGGGAAGTGCCCAGACCTTCTCTGGTCCCCTGCCACCCGTGCAAGGATTGCTCTTACAGACATAGTTCAATTGTGTGTGTTTGAACACTGAGAAAGAAATTGGAAAGCCCCTTGCTGTGAATTCCAGATCCAGCCAGAGCATCACAGGACCCAGCCAAGGATTATGGTGATTGTGAATTCCTCAGGACTCCCATAAACCTGGGCATTCCAGACCTTCTTCCAGCCCCCAAGACCTACCAGAGTCACCACACCACAGGCGATACGAGAGTGTTCTCTCACAGATGTGCCAGGCCACCAACATCAGTGAATGCCCTGTCTCCTGTGTCAATGATGACAACCCATCAGTAGCCCTCACCCTGGGGGAGACTTCTTATTTCTTTGCTGCTCCAGGGACTATGGGATTTGGTATGGGAATTACCGAATTTAGACTTAGAAACTCTGCCACTCTGCGTGATTTGGGTGAATTTACAAAGCTGACACCCACCCTCAGACAGGGGACATGATAATAAGATCATCTCCCTTAGAAGGTTCTGGCAAGCACTGGGCAAAATAATTGATGATGTTGATTACTGAGCGTTTAATGACTGAGTGCTTTGGGAATTACAAAACATCCTGAAAAAACACTTCCGCCCCTCTAGAAAGCCACCGATCACATGCTGTCTATTGCAACAGTGCAGACAGGGGCAGCAGCTCCAGCTAGAGCTACAAATCTGCCCCCAGGTACGTATCAAGCACCTGTGCTGTGTATTGCCCAGAAAACGTGTCGTGTGCGGTCATCGCCCCTCAGAGTTATTGCAGAGTTGGGAAGAAAACAAAATGCTGCACTTCGGGAGGGTGCTCAGGGTGATGTGGGATATTCAGAGAAATCTTTATGAAGGATGCGACGTGAAAAGGGCACCCCACAGGGACGTCAGGATGTGGAGAGGGTGAGAGAGAAAGGGGAAGCCACTGTGGGTATTTGGAGATAAGTTTGTCAGTGTTGTTCTGTAGTCGCAGTGTTAGTTCTTTCTCAGAGATAGCTTTTTATTTTGCTTAAAGCCATAGTATCTGAAGATGTCCAGAGGTGGTAGGGAAGACCGCAGAGGACCATCCACTGCCCTGCCCAGGGCGAGCCTCCTTCTGGGTGCCAGACTCAGCCATCATGGGAATACGACAGCTTCCCATCCCCTTCTGGACCGGAGAGGGATTTATGCCACGGGGACCACAGAAAAGATTGGAGTAGGGGTAGGAGGAATTCACATTTAATGAGCACCTTCCAGACGCCGGGGCTGCACTGGGTGCCTCACTGTGGCCCCGAGACAGGGATGTCATTATCGGCATTTTACTGACGGCGAAAGTAAAACCTCAGGGAGATGTTCAGTCGTGTTATCACACAGCCAGGATTTGAACTCTTTGGCAATCACTGAAGACCCCCAGAATGAGAACAAACATTTTGCAGGTGCTTTTATTTTGGGGGTGTGCTTTGGGTTCCGCAGGTGTCTCCATGGAAGCCATTCTGAGACTCTTTGGAGAATATTTCTTTAAATTCTGTAAGATGTCTGGCTACGATAGGATGTTACGGACACTGGGAGGAAACCTCACGGAGTTTATTGAAAACCTAGATGCCCTCCACAGTTACCTCGCACTATCTTATCAGGTAAGGCTATCTGAGTCCAGTCTTGTTGGCTCGGTGAGGAAGCAAATGCCTGTGGGAGTTCTGGGCCATCTTCCCACAACCCCTGAGAGGGGTGCAGTTGGAAGGGATGTGCAGGATCCCTGGTTGGAGGTGTCAGGAGTCCCCTGGGGAAAGGAATGGAAAATGATAACCTGTTGGCCACTTTTACTAACTGGCCGGCAACAACCAATGAGGGACAAGCTGAAGAGGTGGGCTTTGTGACAGAGGATGGTCTCTTCTGACAGTCGCTGGTGTGGGCTTGGAATTAGATCTGGAAGACTGATCACAGTGGGGACAAAGACGGGGAAACAATCAGGTTGTAGTGGACCTGCAAAATCTCCCCTCGGGTTTCCCGGCTTTGATGGAGCTGAGAAATAGCTTCTGTAGCCAGATTCATTTATTCACGTATCAGAAGGAAAGATTTGATAGGGCCAAGAGCCAGAGTCGGAAACCGTCCAATGCTGATTAACCCGCGGGGTGACCGCCTGAGGTGTTAAGAAACTAATTTCCCTGTTGGGATATATCCTTCTGGAATTCATTCCTTGGCTTTCTTGTTTGTAGGCATCATTGGGAATTTAAACGCCTAGACTTCCTCTTCTTTTTTAGAAAAGAAACAGCCTTATTAAAAAGGCAAACAGGCATTTACGTAGCTTTTAATAATAGTTTATTATTTTATATGAATTATTTGTACTTATTTTTAGGGCCCTTTATAGTTTACCAGGCTCTTTCTCCACTATTTTTATATTTAATGCTCCTAACCACCCTTGAAGGGTTGTCGTGAGGGTAAAATGGGGTTGTGCGTGCTAAAGTAACTCATCAACCATAGTGCACCCTTACACGTGTTCAATGGGAAAACTATTATTTTCTCAATTTTTCACGGAATATTTCTCCATATTTCAAGGAATAAGAAAAACCTTAACTGACTTCAGACAGGATGAGTAGGTGGGTCTGTCCTGTTGTCAATGAAGGGAACTACGCAAGGGGATAGAAAGAGCCCTGGATATGGGGTCAGATGCACCTACCGTGCTGTCTGACCAGCTCTGCAACTTACTAGCTGTGTGATCCTGTACAAGTTATTTGCCCTCTCTGGCCCTTGATTTTTTTACTTTACTCATTTCATAAATATGTATTGAGGCTTTACTCTGTAATAAGCCCTATTTTAGGCATTGGGAAAACACAGAGACAAAGAGGAGTGAATAGGAAAAAAACTCCTATCTCATATATTGTGTGAATTCAAAGAGATCACATGTGGAAGTCCCCAGCATCATAATCACTTTCAAGAAGGCATTTCATAAATAATAATAACTTCCTTCTTTTCTCTTTTCTCTCTGTTCAATACGGCCGGTTTAAAAATTACAATAATTTATGTGGCAGCTTCCTTTCCAATTTCTTAGCTACAGCACTGCACTTAGACACAAAGAAGTACAGTTAGGCTCCTTCCAGAATCTCCCATAAGATTCCTTAATATGACATCTTTCGTCTGAAAATTTGGCTAATATTTCAAGTCACGGTTCTGGAGAAAGTTAATAGTCTCCCATTCGTGTTAATTCATGGATGTGCTCCAAATACTGTAGTTACCATATTACTGCCACTCTTGTGAATAAGTGTGAATGGGACCGAGAGTCTGAAGTCCCCGCCCATTGTTTGCACACAGCTCCACTACCTTTCCTCTGGGGCAATCATCGGTCATTCCTTCCCGTGCCAAAGTCAATGCTAAAGAAGAGAACTTCTCAGGGTGTAAGTGAGGACATTTTGCACATAATGAGATGAATAAAATATATCAGTGTTATAATATGCAAGCCGTAATAAAATACACGCAATAATAACCTGGTAGCTCCGTAGGGTTTTCCACTGGACGGAACGTTCTGTCTCTTTAAGCAAAAATAAAATAAGGGAATGCTGACTTTTCTCTACGTTTGCCTCTAGTAATTTGCCAGTGCCTTAAGGCATACATTTCTGGTTGTAGCTGTGCCTTTAATCTTTTCTTTTTTTTTTTAAGCTAACTTTCATTGGGTGCTAATTATGAAGCAGGTGTGGGGCTAAGTAATTTATAAACATTGAATTGTCCTCCTTACACCAGGATTAAGTACTCTGATTTTTTTTCTCATGATACAGATGAGCAAACAGGTCCAGAAGGGTCAAACATTTGCCCTAAGTTGCTGGGTTGTGGTGGCCCAGCCAGGACATGACCCCACGTGTCTGTTTCCAAAGACCATGCTCTGGTCTGTTTCCCATTATTTTCCCTTTTCCCTGATTCTCTACTTTCGCAAGACCCTATTTTAACTAAGAAATAGAAGTACAATCTTGCTATTTAGAGAGTCAGATACACTTAACAGAAGAATTAAAAGCACAAATTTTGGGAAGTGCCTCTGGGAAGCAGCCTCGGCTGGGGGCGACGAGTGAGGGGAGACAAGGTAGCAAGAACATACGAATTTTCATTTTAGCCCCTTCTGGACTCTGGTTATTTTTTTTTTCACGGTGGAGAGTTTGGATGGAAGTTTTTGAAATAGCCTTTAATCTCCTGGTTTATTTCATACTTTTTATATGTGCCACCTCAAATCCTCTGAAGATTTAATCAAGATGCAAACACACATACATACAAACATATACTTTCTCTATGTATATGCTTTTGAAAGATAAAATAAATTTGTTTATTAAAAGAAGCTCATTTTGGGGCGCCTGGGTGGTGCAGTCGGTTAAGCGTCCGGCTTCAGCCAGGTCACGATCTCGCGGTCTGTGAGTTCGAGCCCCGGGTCGGGCTCTGGGCTGATGGCTCGGAGCCTGGAGCCTGTTTCTGATTCTGTGTCTCCCTCTCTCTCTGCCCCTCCCCTGTTCATGCTCTGTCTCTCTCTGTCCCAAAAATAAATAAAAACGTTGAAAAAAAATTTTAAATAAAAGAATCTCATTTTAAGTGGAAACCCTCCCACCATAGAAGGAAGCAAAGATCTTGGTAGGAGCCCAGCTCCTTAAACTCTTCCCTCGCTCAGACCACAAGCTGTAAGCCGGGGTACTCAGCTGCCTACACATCAGGTCGGGGAGAAAGGTGCTTCTCTCGGGGATCCCCCAGGTGAAGTCTTCATCCTTATTTCCTGACGTACATCTACCGTGAGATGGTGCATACTTAAGCATCAACATTTATTCCTAGAGAAAGAGGATCTCTTCTGACATATCTTGATTTTCCAAATGAGTGACTTTAGACCGCAGACGGCATCCTACTTCCAGGATGAGAAAGCAACTCCTCTCCAAATTGCTCTGAGCGCCTGATCTTTCTGAGGGTGAAGATGCCCGTGGTCCCTTGGTCACAGGCCGAGCACGGCCGCTGGCCCTGCCCTGGAGTGTGGGCAGAAGCAACACGCGTGGTGAAGGCTCACTGGGGTCCAAACATTGTTCCTCCCTTCCTTTACCCTTGACTCCACTGAGCCTGTTTCTTCTCTTTAAAAGGGAGATAATACTTGCCATCTAGGGTGGGTTAGGGAATTAGGGATAATATCAAATTCCTGACATAGGGTGCCCCAAACCATAGTGGATTTTATGTGATTGGGGGTATAGTTCTGTGTGCTGTAATGGGTAAGCACTGTTGTTTCACAAAGCCTCAAGAGCATAATTTAAACAACCTGGGTTCACTGAGAGAAAACACTTCGTGTCTTTTGGTTAGGAGATGAACGCGCCATCGTTCCGCGTGGAGAGAGAAGCAGACGGGAGGATGCTTCTCCATTACTACTCTGATAGGAGGGGTCTGTGCCACATCGTACCAGGTATGGGAATGTCTTAACCAGTCCCGCCGCTACGAGGCCTCTGGGGGATGGTCCCCTCACAATTCTCCAGGATGGCTAATAGCCAACCCAGCTCTTCCATAATCTGAGTCTTTGCTGTCTTGACTGTTACTTCCAAAGTCTTTGAGCCTTTAAAATAAGTTCCCAAAGTGCCAAAAGAAGGAATAATTTCCATTTTTATTTTAACATTTTAAACTAGGTATTTACATAGTTATGATAATTCTGCATATATTATTTTGTATCAACCTTTCTTGTGTATTCAGCATTATGGAGAAAGCATCCTTCCATGTTTTTACGTGGTCTTTAAAACTCATTTTCAGGGGCTCCTGGGTGGCTCAGTCGGTTAAGCGTCCGACTTCAGCTCAGGTCATGATCTCGCGGTCCGTGAGTTCGAGCCCCGCGTCAGGCTCTGGGCTGATGGCTCAGAGCCTGGAGCCTGCTTCCGATTCTGTGTCTCCCTCTCTCTCTGCCCCTCCCCCGTTCATGCTCTCTCTCTCTCTCTCTGTCTCAAAAATAAATAAACGTTAAAAAAAAAAATTTAAAACTCATTTTCAAAGGCTGAACGGTATTTCATATGGTAATTGACCAGGCCCCACTGTTGAATTTGTAGTTGGTGCTACTCTTTTGCTATTGTAACCAGTGCTGTGGTGAACATCTTGATGTGTGCTCTTCCCATGTTTACATTATAACCCGGGGATAGATTTCTGGAGAACCTCTTTTTAAAACATTATCCTTAATGCTTTTACAACTAAACTTTGTTTACATTATTTCTAGAGTGTGTTTGTTTAGTGAGTGAAATGCCTTCCTGAAATAAACAAATGAATAGATGCTGAGCTAGAAATTAGAGTGGCAGGGATATATTTGGTATCCAGACATGTACAACTTAAACCTCTACCTGTAAGTTACTTTATTTTTGAATTTTATTAATCTACTGTATGCTGCCTGTCTTGATGCAAGGCCTGGACTTAGTGAACCCTGGAATGTTCATCTGAAGTTGTATAACTTGATTGTTTTATGACTTTGGCTGACATAACTGCTTCTTGCCATCCCTCATCAGTAGGTGTCCTTCTGCTGCAGGTATCATTGAGGCTGTGGCCAAAGACTTCTTTGACATTGATGTGACCATGGATATCCTCAGCATGAATAAGGAAGAGGAGAGGACAGGAAAGAAAGAGCATGTTGTGTTTCTGGTTGTACAGAAGTCTCACAGCCAGATGGGAAGGGCAAAGCCAAACAGGTTAAAAGGCAATCAGGATATCCAGAGGGACCAAGAGGTATTGGGTTTGCTATGCCTTCAGAAAGCACAGATCCTCCTAGTGGATCTACCGGTCCTGGAACAATCTGTGCAAAGAACAGAACCAAATGGACCTTCTCATAGTGGATTTAAGGCATATATTCTCAATCTCCACTATTGGCATTTGGGACCAGATCGTTCTTTGTTATGACGGCCTGTCCTGTGTGTGTTTAGCAGCATTGCTAGTCTACCCACTAGATGCAAATAGCACCCCCGCTCCCCGCTCCTTAGTTGTGGCAATCAAAAATGTCTCCAGGCATCACCATGTATCCCCAAGGCAGGGGTGGGGGACAAAAATCATTCCTCGTTGAGAACCTCTGGGTTAAGAAAACTTGGATAAACATTGGGAAGTATTCTGGGATGAACCTTAGCCTGGAACATTTTCACCCCTGAAAACACCAATATAAAGGCCGGAAATTTGGATTTGGTGGCTTATTTTGCAATCCTTCTAAAATAAATTGACCTTTTGAAGTCCTTAGTGCCCACTTCCGTAGCTGGGGCCAGTTAGGAGTCTGGAGTCAATGTGCCATTCTGGGATTGGCTGCCTCAGTTGCAACTTGGGGAGTGAACATTATCTATTTAGGTTCTACATATATTAGGTACACAGCTCTCTGTGTCCACACAGCTTATACAAATATCCAGATAATGTTGTGGTTCCTGGAGCCCACGGTGTTGATATCTTAGAGCATTCAAAGCCCACCTCAGAGCCTGTTTGCTACAGAATCTACAACCACAAGAAGACAAGATGGTCAGATGTCATTTTTCTGCCAGCCCTGTCTTGAGATTTGCAAAAAAAGTTCTTGCTGCCTTTGGCAGAGAAACAACATGAGGATTAATTAGATAAAAATCTTGGGGATAACAATGTCTTGCTAACATTGACCTTGCAAGGCCTTGCTGTTCCTCTGGTCCCAATTACAGCAGAAGGGGCTTGTGTGTCTCCAGTTACACGACCAGTCACATGACACGCGTGCTTCTCTCCCTGCCACCTGTAGGCCCTGGAGGCAGCTTTCCTTAGGATGAAGGAGAAATATTTGAGTGTCTCTGTTTGCCCTGTGAAGAAATCCCACTGGGAAGTTGTGAGAAGTATAGTCATGTTTGGAAAAGGTGAGTCGGCCATTCTCCTGACCTTGGCTCTCAGAGCAGAATCATTGCTTGGTGCACACAGCTGGGCAAAGCCGTCTATGATGATGACATCACTGATTTCTGCAGAGCTTGGATTTGGCAGGCATGGTCTTACGCATTCAAACATCAGACTCTAACTTGCCTTCCTTCGCCCCTTTTGTTTGCGCTGGGTGGCACAGACACACAGTCTCCCCAGTAGTCAGGGAAAGCCACCGGAGAGAGGAGGGGAATCTGTCCCAATTGGTCACTGTGTTGAAAGGAAGGAGGAGTGACTACTGACATATTCTCAAGAACAGTGACTTTTCTATAGCTTCTCAGGCCTTCTGGACTGGGATGCATTTCAGGCCAGGAAGCCTGTGGTTAATAACCACAGTATCCAGTAGTGCAAAGGACACTGGATTAGGAGCCAAGAAAGCAGATCTCTGGCTCTGTCCCTCAGGAGCTGAATGACCTTGAACAAGGTCCCCCATCTTCCATGTGAAAAATGAAGGCATCAGGCTTTCAAGGCGCCCTTGTTGACACTGAGCCCGTCTCATGATCAGCACCTAATGGCTGAGCCAGAACGAGAGCCCCGCCCCGTGGGGAGCCGGGGAGCTAGAGCCCTCCCCATCATGCCCTGTGGGTCACGGTGACATGCATCTGGGAGGAGGTCTGCAGGGCTCAAAAGGCTGCATTTTGAGTCCCTCAAGCCATGGCAAGCGAGTCAAACACGCAATTGACATCCTTTGTCTGGGAGATTTTCATATCAAAAAGGCTCCATTTCGAATCTCTACCCCCTGCCAAATAGGGCTGTTGGTTAAATTTTCATGTGCCACCCAAAACTGTCAGTCTAAAAAGCTCCATGGCAAATGTCCCTGACGCTGGGCCGGGCACACACGCTCTGCTCCGCTAGCTCATTGTCTGGCTGTCACCGTTTCAATGCCGGCTCTGTTTTCCTGGCGAGACGTACTCAATTGGCCCAGAGACTCTTCAGCGGCGGGCAGAAACTTGGCAGGGGCTGGGGGGCGGGGGGTGGGGGGGGTGCTTCTTAACCCAGTAGCAAGTTTTCTGTTTGTTTTAATTTGGAAGAATCGCTGTGGCCATCTGGAGACACCAAGGGGGCCTCTGATAGAGAGTGGGGACTGCTCTGTGGCCATGAAACATTTAAGACACTACCCCAAGCTCTGCTCTGTGTCAGCTTGGTGGCGTGAACGGCCTCTGAACAGGACTCTCTTTTTCTACATCCAGGGCATCTCGTGAACACCTTTGTGCCCGTTTATCCCGAGCGTCTCTGGATTGAACAGAAGACATTCTGCAATGCTTTTCCTTTCCACATTGTATTTGATGAATCAGTAAGAGGCCCTTTCCCGCTGTAGCTTGGACTGGGGCTAAGCTGGGAAGGGAGTATGTCGTATAGTCTTTCATGTCAAGTCCCTGAGGAGTCCCCAGGGGTTGGGGGACTAGGGTTTAGCCTGGCATGACCATTGGCTTCCTTTTCATTGTGGCCTCCTTCAGAAACTAGAATGTTGGAACTTCTCCGTGGGTATGGGGGGGGGGGCAGCAGCAAGGGGTCTGCACTGATGAGTGCACGGGAAGGTTTGCCATTAGAGAAAAAGGAAGTGATACCAAAGTTCACGACGCCAAGAGACAATAGAATGCAGCCGGTAATGGCAGGGTGAGATTCTAGATGTGATCCCTCACCGTCCTCGTGACCACTGCGGTTGTCTCAGTCCCAGTAGGGTGCTCCCTCTGCATCTTGAAGGCAGGGGAGAAGTCTGTGCCAACTCATGCCACTGTTCCATGGGAGTTGTGACGATGACCATTAATGACAAACGTTTGGTTGTTATCAGTTTCCTTGGATGAAATATATGTCAACTGAAGTGACTATGAGTTCCTTTCAAAGGCAGTTAGGTAAAATAAATTTGGTCAAAAAATCAAAATGGCTTCAGGTAATTGTGATTTTCTCTGCTAGTTGTTTGAATGCAGAGATATGTTTGGATCATCACCTACCAGTTGACTGCTGGATACAGAATCTATGAAATTTACTCATTTGAGGGTCATCTTTGCTTGCAAAGAATTGATCTGAGGAAATCAAACACTCCTATAAGAAACAATTAGGGAGGGGCACCAGGGTGGCTCAGTCCGTTAAAAGTCCGACTCTTGATTTTGGCTCAGGTCGTGACCTCAACACCTAGGGAATTGTAAAGTAATGTACTTTGGCTTTTCCCCAATACCGTGAGGACACTATTATTGCTATTATCAATGTTTTAAATTCCGATGTACTTTCTTTTCTTTTCTTTTCTTTTTTTTTTTTTTTTGAGAGAGAGAGAGGGAGAGAGATTCCAACCAGGCTCTGCACAGTCAACACGGAGACAGGCTTGGGGCTTAGTCTCATGAACCTTGAGATCATAACCTGAGCCGAAATCAAGAGTCAGATGTTTAACTGACCGAGCCACACAGGTGTCCCTGATGTACTTTTTTTTTTAATTAAAAAAAATTTTTTTAAATTTATTTTTGACACACACACACACACACACACACACACACACACACACAGAGCAAGCAAGGGAGGGGCAGAGAGAGAGAGAGAGGGAGATGCAGAATCCGAAACAGGCTCCAGGCTCTGCGATGTCAGCGCAGAGCCTGATGCGGGGCTCAAACTCACAAACCATGAGATCATGACCTGAGCTGAAGTCAGATGCTTAACCGACTGAGCCACCTAGGCTCACTGCCCCTGCACCCCCACCCCATCGCCCCATACTTTTAAAACTCCTTTTCCTTTTTAAGTTTTGGGCATAGAATAACAGTAAGTTTAATGATAGTTATTCCATAATGTTAAGTTGATTTCTGTAGCCTAACAGAGTGCCCGTGGTTAGTGAAGTTATGTATTCCTGGACAGCCTGTGCAGGCATTGGATATTTTATGTACTCTTTGCTTCTTTCTTCTGTGTGTTCCCTGGAAACAGCAGTGAAAGATGTCTCCCCACCTCCATGATGGACGCCTTCACCTGGGCCTGGGTGTCAGATCTAAGTCACAGAATTGGCTAGTTTCTTTGTTAGTGAATTCTAAGAAGTCCCACAAAGCTGGGGAAGAACTGTTACTCCAACTGAAACATTTAACCTCTGTTTCTTGTCAGTCAAAGGTTTGCTGTTGAACACCCCATGCTATCCTTTTCTCTTTCAGAGATGAGCTGCAGATTTGATTTTTTAAAATAATATTTATTACTTCCACGGTGTCTGACCATTACTGACCCCTTTTAGTGAGTCGCAAAGCATGCGGAGTGATATTTGCAAGGGAGAGTTTACGGTGAGGGTTGCTTTCTGTTCCCCGGTCTTACACCTGTCCTCTGTGGGTAGCTGAGGGTCAAGCAAGCCGGAGTGAATATTCAGAAGTATGTCCCAGGACTCCAAAACCAGAAGATTCGATTGGATGAGTATTTCTCCATCATTCATCCCCAAGTTACCTTCGACATTTTCAGCATCTGCAAATTTATCAACAGTCAATTTGTCCTGAAGGTCCGAAGAGAAAGGATGCCTGAGGCATGGAAAAGTCAGCCCGCACTCAAACTGCGAGGTAAGTAACTCTGCCCTTTCCCATTGCTCTCTGCCGTGTGGGAGATTTCTCGGAAAGGGACCAGGCAGAGCTTTCTGATTTCTTCAGAAAAGCCGGCTAAAAAGCTGGAGGCTGCCCCGGGAGAACTAGTGAGAAGCTTTAACTGTTTATTTTTATCATTGAGAGAGCGAAAGCACATGCAAGCAGGGGATGGGCAGAGAGGGAGACAGAGGATCTGAAGCGGGCTCTGTGCTGACAGAAGAGAGAAAGCCAGATGCAGGGCTTGAACTCACAGACCAGAAGATCATGACCTGAGTCAGACGCTTAACTGCCTGAGCCACCAGGCATCCCTAGAGAGAAGCTTCAAAGTGTTGAGTGCAGCAAGCCGTGGCGCCGCGGTGGTAACTGAGGAACAGATTCAGGAGATAATTAAGGCAGGAGTTGGAGACTGGATGTCGGTGTTGAAAAAGAGAGAGGATATTTAGGATAAGGATTAGCTTTCTTGCTTGGGTAACTGGGTGGTGAAGGTGTGATTAACAGAAAAGACCCCATGTGAACTTCCTGGGGCAGGGACTTTGCCCATTTGGGTCACTGCTGTATCCTCCAAGTCTAGAATAGTGTGCCTGGCTCACAGTAGAGACCAAGTGCATGTGCGATGAAGCAATTAAACAGAACATTTGCAAAGAAGCTTGAAGACGAGTTCAGTTGCAGACATCCATGCATAAATATTAATAGGCAATTAAAAAAATCACTGTTGATGGGAGTATAAATTGTCACAATCATTTTAGAGGGCGTTTTAGCAATACGCATTGAAAACATTAAAAGTGAGCATATTCTTCGCCTCAGTAATTCCATTTCTGAGATTATATCCTTAACAGAATTGTCACGATTATCCACAACGACTTACCTTAAGCTTGGTCATTGCGATGTTGTTTATAGGGTGATAAAAGGGGTGTAACATAATCAGTGCTAGCTAATTGCTTAAGTAAAATACAGTATAATCAATGTGGCCAGCGAAAAGTATGATGCATATCTCCATTTATGCCATGGAAGGATATATCTATTATAAAATTGAAGTGAAAAATTCAGATTACAGAAAAAGATGGCAGAGAACCCCATTTTTTAGTAGTTATCTGAGCGGTGTGATTATGGGTGACTTAAAAAAATTTTATTACAAAAATATTAATGTCTATTTTTGAGAGAGAAAGAGTATGAGTGGGGGAGGGGCAGAGAGAGAGGGAGACACAGAATCCGAAACAGGCTCCAGGTTCCGAGCTGTCAGCACAGACCCCGACGCGGGGCTCAGACCCACAAACCACAAGATCATGACCTGAGCAGAAGTCAGGCACTTAACCGACTGAGCCCCCCAGGCGCCCCTATGGGTGACTTTTAATATTGTCTTCAGCCGTTTTCATTTTCTGCAATGCATGTGTACCGCTTTCATAATAAAATAATAAACAGATCTGTTTTTAAGGAAATACACATTGAGTCCAGGCAGCAAGGTTTCTCTGGGAATTCAGATTCATTGTCAGCATGGTGTCGGAGGCTGTTGTGGAATACTAAGAGAGAATGCCGAGACAGAACCCCGGGGAACACCAACTCATTGAAGGAATGAGCGAAAAAACCTAAAGGAAACATTGCAAGAAGTGTCGGGGAAGTCTGTGAAAGTGAGGTTTCAGGGAGGGGGTTCTGCCCAACGCCATCCAACAGCAGAAGGCCTCAGTAAGGGAGAGACAGATAGACTCGTATTGGAGTAGGTAGATCGGAAGCCGGGGATGGGGCCACTTCCAAGTAAAGAGAGGCGCTGCGAGCCAGGGAAGATGGGTAAGTGGAGACAGGATGTATAGACAGACGGCTGTCAAGAAATTTGGCTAGAAGGGAAGGGGTGAGACCGTGCGGTGGATACGAGGGCATATTGTGTGGGTGATGATCTGGCGAGCTGTAGCACCGGCGGGTGACCTGCTGCATTGTCACCTTTCTCTCGTGCCGGCAAGGCCAGATGATCTGGATGGAGTCCGCGCGGTGCATGATATACCTGTGCTCCCCGAAGCTCCGCAGCCTACGAGAGCTGGAGGCGCACCGGATGCACCTGTCTGACATCGCCCCCCACGACACCACCAGGGACCTCATCCTCCTGAACCAACAGCGGCTGGCAGAGATTGAGCTGTCCAACCAGCTGGAGAGGAAGAAGGAGGAGCTGCGGGTCCTCTCCCAGCACTTGGCCATAGAAAAGAAGAAAACCGAGACCTTGCTTTATGCCATGCTGCCGGAACATGTGGCCAACCAGCTGAAGGAGGGCAAAAAGGTCGCTGCGGGTAAAGCATTCCCTCCCCTTCATGGGTGCCTCTGGGCAAGAGTAGCGGTGTGCCTCAGGGGTTAGGGGCACAGGCTCCGAAACCACACAGCTCTAGGTTTGGATTCTGGGTCCATCGCTTGTTAGCAGCACGATCTTGGGCGGGTTGCTTGAGATGCACGTCCTCAGTTTTCTTCTCCCAACATCAAGAATAATAAAAGTAATACCAGAGTGAAACATGGATTAAGTAGGAGTGCCTGTCAACTTCACCCACCTATGGCACATTCTCTAAGACCCGAAAGCTATGGCTTGACACTGGCCCTTTCGTCAGTGGCCACGAATAGAGTTCTTTAGCTGGAAATAATACACCCACACGTTCCCTAAATCATGGGCCTCTAAAGACCATTCTGGGAGAGCAAGCCATTTCTGGAGGAAACGATGCCCTGTTTACTCTGACCTCACGTCCCATTTGTCACGGGTGGGTGTTCACCCCCAGACATGTGTGGTAAACTAACTCAATGCCAGGGTGCTGCCAGGTCTCGAGGACCCAAAGGAGGTCACAGTCTTGCGGCTGTGACAGACATATACAGAATAATTTCACAGGGGTGGCGGTAGCCAAAGGGAACTAATGTGCATCAAAGAGCAATTATTGTGCCAGGATCTGTGTTAGACGTTTTTAGACGTGCCATTTCATTGAATTCTCTGAACACTTCTATGAGCGAGGTGCTATTATCCAAAACAGCTGAGTAAATCCACATTCACCCCAGTTGATGAGTAAAAGAGCTGAAGACTAATCAGAAGTCCGTCTAACTCCAACATTCATACTTTTTCCATGACAAAGGTGTGGAAACACAGACGCCAGGGAGATTCATGATAAAAAGGCGTCAGAAAGGAAGAGACAGGAGGCAGGGGCTGTGAGGGTTTGTATATATCAAGTGTATGGCACTTGAATTAGACCTTGAGACTTTCTTTCAGAGGAAAAGGAGGGAAAGGCATTTTGGGAGAACAGGATTGCAGGAGCAAAGGTGAGGCAGTCTCAAGATAGATACCGCAGCCTGTAGGATACCCCACTTGACATGACCAGTAGGTAGCTAGGAATTGTGGGGAGAGCTCGAAGAAAGGTCCTTGGGTAAGCTACCTATCTAGGAATTATTGCAGTGTGGGTGGTGGTTAAACACCGACTCTATGAATTATAAATAAGGTCATCCAGGGGGCAGGAGGTGAGAAGGGACGAGGGTTAGGTTTTGAAGCTTAAGGAACACCTATTATTTAAGGAGGAAGAAAAGCCAGTGGAATGTGTGAAACAAGGAGATCAGAAAGGTAGGGAGAATATGAGGAGAGAATGGCAGGCCAGAAGCCAGAGGGCGGAGGAAGCTACGTGAAGGAGAGATTATTACCAGAGGTATAAATAATACAGAGAATGCCCAGCTGTGTTCAAGCAGTCACCCATTTGGTCATCCAACAAGTATTTATTGAGGATCTACTATGTGCCAGGCCCTGCTCTAGGTGCTGGGGATACAGCAGAGTACGAAACAGTCTCTCATCTCGTGGAGCTTACAGTCCAGTGGGGAAGATAGGCAACAAACAAATAAAAAAAATCCATATAAATTATGCCATGTAAGGCTTGTGGGGTTGGGGGGTGGAAATCAGGTCAAAAGGATAGAGTCTAGGGACTGTTATTTTAGATAGAGTGATAAAGGAAGTTCTCACTGAGGTGGTTACGTGTGAGATGTGAGACAGAGCCCTTTGGATATTGGAGAAAAGAGAAGTCGGAGAAAAGAGGCAGAGGAAACAGCAGGTGCCAGGGGCCTAAGCAGGAGGCACTTATGAAGCCCCAAGGAGGCCAGTGTGGCTGGAGTGGAGTAAGCCAGAGAGCATGGAGACGTGAGATCAGAGAGATGGTGAGGACAGAGGGGACCCCTTACTGGCCATGGTAAGGATTTTCTTTCTTTTCTTTTCTTTTTTTTTTTTTTTTTGAGGGTCGGTGGGGGGCAGTGGGGAGAGCAGGAAAGAGCACACGAGCAGGGGAGAGGCAAAGAGAGAGAGAAAGAGAGGGCAAGAGAGTATCTTAAGTAGCAAGGAGCCTGACACAGGGCTTGATGTGGGGCTTGATCCCACAACCCAGGAATCATGACCCGAGCCCAAACCAAGAGTTGGGCACTCAACAGGCTGAGCCACCCAGGCACCCCAAGGATTTTCCAGTTTAGTCTCAGTGTGTTGAAATCACGGATTTGAGGCACAGGATTGGAGGGTCTGATTTCAACAGGTCATCTGGCTGCCGTATGAAAATTAGCAAGACTGGAAGCAGCCCAAGGAGTTAGGAGGACGCGCTGAGCACACCGTAGCCCTCTCGCCAGACACGGATAGTGGAAGTCGCCACTTCGTGACGACCAGTCTCTGTCAGCCCCGGCCTGGATCTCCCGTAGTTCGGGCTCCGCAGCAGGCCACCTGCCAGAAGCTTCTCTGTAAGCCAGGGGCCACCCAACCTATTCCTGTCCTGCCGTGGCTCTCAGCACACCTTACCGGGTGCTCGTTTACTCTTACGTCTTCTTCACTGGACTGGGAGCACCTTAGAGGCAGAGGTGCCGTCTGTTCCACGTTGCACGCGTCTCCCCGAACAATGACCAGCTCATAGCAGGCACTCAGGGAGTGTCTGTTGGCCGAATGGACCCGGTTCCTTTTCCCCAAGGCTCAGCCAGATTTGGTTCCCAGAGAGCACTCGAGTCTAGAATCCAGAGAATCATCATCCCACATCCTTGGCTCTCACTGACGCTCAGTTTACGTTTTGCAGGAGAATTTAAAACCTGCACCATTCTCTTCAGTGACGTGGTGACATTTACTAACATCTGTGCTGCCTGCCAACCTATCCAGATAGTGACCATGCTGAATTCCATGTATTCCAAGTTTGACAGATTAACCAGTGTCCACGAGGTCTACAAAGTAAGTGTTCACCTACTGTGTGTGTGTCCCGCTCAGGCAGGGCGGGAGCTCGGTTATCGGTCTTCCTTTGCCTCTCTCTTCGCTGCTCTGTGGTCTGGTGTGGATGGGAGTGGGGTGAGGAGCTACAGGTAACAGGGAATTGGAGATATTTTAGCAATTTTAGTTTTTCAGAAATCCTTTTATAATATCCAGTGCCAAAAGGCCTGTGAGGGGCACACTGTTTTCCCAGAGAGTAATTCTACCCCTTCCATTCAGCAGAGAGTCTAATCTGAATAACGTACGTCTGATATATAGCATCATATGCCAACTCAGGAGCCATGTCTTCTATGGAGCTTCCACCAGAAGCAGAAAGCCCTTTGGCCCTCATCCCTCCCTTATGCTCCGTATACTCCTGGCCAATAACCACCAGCTTCGATATGGTCCTTCTGTCAATATGTGGAAAATGACAAAAATACTTAGTGATATATTGAATGCATAAAGGAAACCATCTGAATACCCCCTCTTCCCTCTTACAGGTGGAAACTATAGGAGATGCCTACATGGTGGTAGGGGGCGTACCAGTGCCCATTGGAAGTCATGCTCAAAGAGTGGCTAACTTTGCTCTGGGGATGAGAATTTCTGCAAAAGAAGTGATGAATCCTGTTACTGGAGAGCCCATCCAGGTAGAGAGAAACTGAGTACTTTGGTTGATATCGACCATCCCACACACTACAAAGTAGAATTCTGTTTATTAGTCTGCTCACGTGGCTGCTGGGCATGTTACAGGAAGTACGATGGGTAACGTCTCCCAACTCTTGTCTTCTCTTGAATATGTTTCAAGTAATAGAAATATTAGCAAAGATATCATCGTCCCAAGTTTTCTTAAATTTCAGGGGAGGCTTTGGAGCGTGGGATTTTCATGTGATTTACCACGAGTGTCTTTCTCGATAGCTTGGGACGGTGCTGAGCAAGCCTCTCCACTTGCTTTGCAGGGCTCGATCCGTCTTGGTATCTGGCTCGTTCGTAATGCCTGCTTTTTTATTTGAGCATCCAACCTAACAAGTGGCTCACCCTGCCCGCCCCTGGGGAAACTGTATACTCAGCATGTCCTCTCCCAGGTCAAGTCAGGCTGAGGCAGGAAACTGCTTCCAGCCAGCAGCTCGGACACCACGATGCCATGAGAGATTTAGAACAGCGTTCCTCCCACCACGTGGCCCTGAGTAAGACATCTGCCCACCTTTCTCACAGGAACCTGCTCTTCCGGGCGTGGACATTTGTTCACACTATAAAAGATGGACAATTTTGGAGATGAAAAGCAGGTGTCGTCTTCTGTCTGCTCAGCAGATCCTTGACGCCCTGAGATGCCTTAGAGCAGGGCTTCTGCATTTTAAAATGTAATCCCTTCCCTGATCCTGACAGTCAGGTCTTCAAAATAAACTACACAGCCAACCGAAACTCAATAAAGACAAGTATAAGACAGAATCGGATTTTTCTAACTTATGACCCTTATGTAGGAGATTCTGAAGATGTGTTCAGCTCACCTTCACCACAAGTCAGACACTGAGAAATGCTGCAGGTTCTGGTTCTGGTATGCACTGCGTGCTTCTGAGTAAAAGCCAGCTTTACGTAATTGCAGGAACTGCATATCCACAATATTTGGTCCGTTGGAAACACGCAGATACATCCGTTGAATAAAAGCCCCAGGATCATAAATAAAAATCAAGATGGGAGGGAATGAGATAAGAAGGTCAGATAAGAGATATGTGTTTCAGTTAAAGGGCTCTAATATAAGCCATTAAAGAAAAAAAGAATTGAATATATACCGTTGTGTAAAGTGTGTGTGTGTGTGTGTGTGCGCGCGCGCGCGCGCGCGCGTGAGTGTGTGTAAAAGGCATAGCTATAGAGATGACAGTAATGTCATACCAGTAAGAATGAAATTAAACAATGAATTCCTGGAAACTATCCTGGTGGATTTTACCCAGAAGAAAGCAGGAAAAGATGTTATCAAGTTTAAGATAAGAATAGGGACATAGGAGCATCATTAAATATCCTCCAGAAACAACCTACCGTGTGGGTTTATTTAAGGAAGTAGGGAAAAGGACTTGAAACATTTCACTCTCTTAGAAGAACTGTGCTGCCATTTCAACAATTTTTAAATTAGTACTCTTTGAGATCTTCTACTATTTTATTCACATTTCCTTCAACGCACATGTACTGAGGTCCTACTCTGCATGAGACAGTATTCTCGGTGTTTGACAGGCTCATTTTCCTAGAGGAATGCATCTTCTTATTTCAGGGAGAAGAAAATCTAGCCTGAAAAGATAACTAAGTCTGGCTAGGATGTAGAAAGCTGCAATAGGCTGCTCTTCCAATACTAGTCGTTAAAAAAACTTAGTGAGCAAAGAAATAGAAATAAACTGATTCCAGAAAGCAACCAGCCCTTTCAAAGAGGACACCCATAGTTATGTTCATGTCTAGTGGAGCTGCAGGTGAGGGTGAGAAGAAACCAGTCTGAATTTTAGTGAACTTTAATGGCCACATGGAGGCCAGAATGATAGGTTAGAATCCCAAAGATCCTGTCTTTTGTCAGTTCTAGCCACAGAATCTGTACCCGTCTACAAACTCTCCCACAGGCCTTCACCAAGTACATGTGGTTATTCAGTCAAAGGATGGGGTTAGGAGGAGAACTGAGAGAAACCCCCAGTCCCTGAGGCATGTGAGGCACATTCTCCAAATGCGAGTCAATGGCCCATGAAAAGCTAGGGTTAGAGTCAGAGAACAGACAGAAATCCCTGTGAGGTATTCTTGGCCTTTACCAAGTGCACTACAATGACACTTTGAAGTCTAAGGGCAGAGAAGAATGGTAAAGAGATATCTCCCAATGTGCAGAGAGCCAGCATGGGACTAAAGAGCAAAGAGACCCCCAAACACCTCACCTCACAATTAGGCTGTAAATCAGAAAGAGATCTTCCACAATTTAGAAAGCTGGAGACTTACTGTAAAGTATAAGGAGGTTCTCAGATCCTTGCTTGTCCCCACATCCCGAGCCCTGATGGTGATAAAATCCTGATCTAGCCTTCTTAATATATGAAATCATATATTGCATGGAATCTAGCAGTATCTTGGCAAAAGAAGCCCAGACTCAATTCAAATACAGATAAAATTCACCCAGTCTCCACTCTAGCAGCCTGACAAAAAAGAGATTTGAACTTTACTGAACACTGAATATTATCTACTTCAGTCTCTACTGTAGTTTCACATACAATATAGAACATACAACTAAATAATTAAAAATATGAGATGCTAGAAAATCAAGAAAAATGTGGTTTAGTGTATAGCCAAGAGAGGAAATAGTCAACGGAAGCAGGTCTGAAAATGGCCTGGATGTTGGAATTACGGGACAGGATCTTTTCAATAACTACAATAAAGATTTTAGGAGATCTACTGGAAAAGGGGAACTGGTTTGAACAGATGGGAAATACATGCTATCTATCTATAACTATCTATTAATCTATCTATCCAATGGAAATGAAAACCATGGTATCAGAAATCGGGAATAGAGAATTCATTTTAGGGCTTTAACAGATTCTAGACACAGTAAAGGAAAGGATCAAGGATTGTGAAAATGAACAATACACTGAAACACAGAGAAGGAAGCAGTGTGAAAAAAATGAAACAGCACATCCTAGATCTGTAGGACAATAGCAAATGGACTACCACAAGTGGAACTTGGGTCCTAGAAGGATACAGTGAGACTGGGTCAGAAGAAATATGTGAAGAAATAATGACTGAGAATTTTCCAACATTGATGAAGGATATCGACTTACATATCCAAGTTTGCTTAGCAAACCCAAGCAGGATAAATACAGAGATAAGCACTTCCATTCTTAAATACCAAAAGCCCTACTCAGTGCAATTCAGCAAGAAAAAGAAATATAAGACATAAAGATTGGAAGGGAAGATGTAAAATGATCTTTTTACAAAGACCATGGTGCACTTATAAAACCTCAGCTAGATCAAAATACCAAGGTCACAGGATATAAGGACAGTGCACAAAAATTAGTTGAATATGTATATACTAAGGACAAAAATTTGGAAAATGAAATAAAAACAAACTACCTAAATTTAGTTTTAAATGTTGGAAAATAAGAAAACTGGAGGACTTACACTACCTAATTGCAAGATTTATTGTAACGCTACACTAACAAAGACAGAGTGAAATTAGAAGGATAAACATGGATCATTGGAGCAGTACAGAGAGCCCAGAAAGAAACTACATATTTAAAGTCAATTAATTTTTAACCAAGGCACAAGATCAGGTCAGCAGGGAAAGGAATTTCTTTTTAAGAAATGGCTCATTTCTGGGGCAGCTGGGTAGCTCAGTCGGTTAAGTATCCAACTTCAGCTCAGGTCATGATCTCGCAGTTTATGAGTTCGAGCCCTGTCTCAGGCTCTGCGCTGACACCTCAGAGCCTGGAACTTGCTTCAGATTCTGTGTCTCCCTCTCTCTCTCTCTCTGCCCCTCCCCCACTTGCAATCTCTCTCTCTCTCTCTCTCTCTCTCAAAAATAAATAAAAGTATTTTTAAAAATTTTAAAAAAGAAATGGTTCATTTTAATTGAAAATACATATGGAAAGAAAAATGTACCTCAATCCTTCATATATAAAAATTAATTTGATATATATCACAGATGTAAACATAAATGCTAGAACCATAAAGCTTTTTGAAGGAAATATAGGCGAATAGCCCCATGAATTTGGGGTAAGCACTAATTTCTTAGATTGGACACAAAAAATATTAATCATGAAAGTAAAAAAAACCTGATAAACCTCATTATTGTGGGCCAAATTTTGTCCCCTCCCCCCCCAAATTCATATATTGATGCTTTACCCCCCGGGCCTCAGAATATGACTATACGTGGATATAGGGCCTTTACCGAGGTGGTCAAGTTAAAATGAAGCTGTTAGGGTGGGCCCTAATCCCATTTGACTGGTGTCCTTGCAAGAAGAGGAAATCTGGACATAGGAAGAAACACCAGGGATGCACAGGCACGAAGAAGAGGAGGCCATCCACAAACCCAGGGGAGATGCTGCAGAGGAAACGAAGCCTCCCAACACTTCGATCTCATACTTCCAGCCTCCAGAACTGGGAGAAAATAAATTCCTGTTGTTGAAGCCACTCAGTCTGTGGGTGTACAGAATGGGAAAAATACTTGAAATATATGTGTATCCCATATCCAAGCATATAGTAGAGAACTCCTCTATATTAACGATGAAAGATAATCCCGGTTTTTATATGAGCAAACTCTTGAACAGACTTTTCAAGAAAAAAGATACAAGAACGGACACAAGCTGCATGAAAATGTGCTTAACATCATTAGCCGTCAGCAACATGCAAATTAAGACCACAACGAGGTAGCATTTCACACCCACCAGAAGACCAAATGATGGTGAGACTGTGGAGCAACTGGAGTGTCACATTGCTGATGAGAATGTAAAATGGTGCAAACACTCCGGAAAATTGCTAGCAAACGGTCTGTTTTTTGTTTTTTTTTTTTGTAACATTAAATACGCATCTACCTTGTGATCCAGGAATTCTGCTTGTAGGCACTTACCTAAGAAAAATGAAACTGTGTGTCTACAAACAGATCTGTATAAGAGTGTTCCTAATGGCCCCAAACTGGAAATAACCCAAATGTTCGTGAAGTTAGAAGCCTGGATAAAGAAACTGCGGTATGTTTTTACTATAGAACAGTCGCAGTAATAGAAGAATGAATGACTGAAACATACAACAACATGGATGAATCTCAGAAACATTCAACTGGATAAATGAAGGCAGGCACAGAACAATATGCTCTATGATTCCATTTGTGCATAGTCCTAGAACAGGCAAATAATTCTTTGTAAAAGAAATGAGGAAGCCGTTACCCCTGCAGAGAGGGAGGGAACTTAACTGGAAAGGGCAACAAGGGGACGTGGCGAAGTAATGAAAGTAGTCTGTATTTTATTCTGGGTGGTGGATTATAGGGTATATGCTCCTGTCAAAACTCACGGAGCTAAATGCTGAAGATCTGTCTTTCCGTTTTAGGTATATTATACCTTAATTTAAAAATAAAAGCAAGAGTATTCGACGGTCCCTTTTCAGTGAGATTCTCTTTGTACAGATCAGAGTGGGGATCCACACGGGACCAGTCTTAGCAGGTGTGGTGGGAGACAAGATGCCGCGGTACTGTTTGTTCGGTGACACTGTGAACACGGCTTCTAGGATGGAGAGTCACGGGCTTCCCAATAAAGTGCACCTCAGCCCCACGGCCTACAGGTAGCCATTCATTTATTCATTCCTTCCTTTGTCTTTTCCTACCTCAAGAATGCTCACGGTGCCTGGCAGCTGTGGGATCGGGGGTAGTGAAGGAAACCCGTGGTTCTTCTCCCGTGCCACGCTGGCTTATAGAAGACATTGTACCAGACAACAAATACTGTCGAGCCTCTTCCATAAGACAGTTTTGCTCCCAAGGAGCATATGGTCTAACGCAGGGATTGGCAAAGCATAGTCATAGGCCAAATCCAGTCTGCTGCTTGTTTTTTGTAAATAAAGTTTTATTGGAACACAGCCATGCTTGTTGATTTACACATTGTCTATGGCTGCTCTCATGGGACAACACCAGAGTCGAGGAGCTGTGGCAGAGGCCGTATGGCCCGCAAAGCTGAAAATATTTACTCTCTGATCTTTTGCAAAAAAAGTGTGCTGACCCTTGGTCTCGCAGAAAAAGAAAGAAGTGTTCACCAATAATTATTTTGAAAGTGTGATAAGTACAATGGTAGAGATAAGCATAAAATAATACTTATGGTTTCTTGAGACCTTACAGGAGGTGAACCAAATTCTGTTCTGAGTTATTTTATATATGTATATGTTCATTTACTCTCACAACGGCTCTATGAAAATGTACTATTATTCTTATCTACAGAGGAGAAAAAAAAAATCAGGCACAAAAAAGTTAATGACTCGCTTCGGGTCCCAAGTTGGCTAGGAAGGAAAAGAGCCCAGATCAAATGTGGGGTGAGGCTCTGAGTCCCTGCTTTATCCACTGTACTCTTGTGCTTGAGGTAATTCAAGCGTGTGTGTCTTGGGAGGCTAAGCGGGGTGTCTCATCCAGTAAAGAAATCCTTTGTGGAGGAAGAGATTCCTGAGCTGAATCTTGAACAAGGAGTTCCGAGTAGGATTTAGCCAAAGCTGAGGCTTTGGGGGAGAAAACCCAGCAGTACCAGCACAGATGTAGAGTAGGAGCTAAGAACTACAATTTAGCTTGCGAGAGTAGACAATATGGAGCAGAAAGTAGCGTGAGCTGTGTGTGCCCTGTCGAAGAGCAAGGGTGTGCATTGTAGGTGGAGAAGAGCCCCCGGGGAGTGTGAGGTTGGAGACAATGGGGGGCCCAGGGTTCTTTTTGATGCTGATACTCAAGACCATGCAAGGACAGGGGTACCTGGGTGGCTTAGTTGGTTAAGCATCGGACTTTGGCTTAGGTCATGATCTCATGGTTTGTGAGTTCAAGCCCCGCATCAGGTTCTACGCTGATGGTGTGGGGCCTGTTTGGGATTCTCTCTCTCTCTCCCTCTCCCTCTCCGCCCCTCTCCCACTTATTCTCTCTCTCTCTCTCTCAAAATAAATAAACTTAAAAAAAAAAAAAAGACTGTGCGAGGACAGATTTGAGGATCAGGAAACAGGACAGAGAGGACCTGTGAGGAGCTGCGTTTGAGCCAGAGCATTGGTGGTGGGAATTTGGGGGAGAGTAAAATCAGCTGAACCTGGTAACTGCTAGAAATGGAGAATGAGAAAGAGGGAGAAGCCTCGAATGTCTCCCGGGCCTCCCTCCTGGTGACAGCGACCTGAATCTCACCACTGGGCACAGGACAGGTAGGAGGGCTTCCGGTCTACAGGGGCAGGCGATGAGTTCAGGTTCGGAAGCGTTGAGTTCAAAGGAGCCGCAGAGCATCCTAGGTAGAGGTGCCATTACGTGGATGGGTGAAATACGGAGTTGAGGTGTTGTCTGGGGCCCCCAACTTGGCGAAAGCAACATGTGGTTGGTAATTCAGCCAGGGGATTGATGGGATCACCTGGGAAAGGTGTAGTGGGAAAAAAGCAGCGCAAAGAACCAACATGTAAGTGGCAGGTGGATGAAGAGGGGCCCGTGTGAGAGGCAAAAGAAACAAGAAAGAAACGGCAGAGTTCAGGGTGAGAGGCACCCTTGGAGATATTTTTAGGAAGGAGGAGGAATTGAACAAAAATGTCAAAATAGTGACAGGGACTGAGACACGTGCACCAGAGGTTTTGGGGACACGATCAGAAGTAGTTGTGGTAGAATGGTGGGGATAGACGCTGGGACATGGGTTGAAGGATAAATGGGAGAGAGTGTATAGGATTAAAGGAGGAGATGATAACGTGGGAAGGTTCTCGCTTCTGTTCGGGAAGGAAGGGACCTTAGCAGGCTCGCAGGCTGAGGGAGGACGCAGACGGTGGGAGCCGGAGAGAAAGTGAGAAGTGGCTGGTTGGGCCAAGCCTTGAGCAAGCGGGAAGGGACATCGATCGGGTGCCCCTGCACAAGACACGGCATCCTCTGAGACACCTCATCCTCAAAGACTGGGGGAAAGGGGGCGTGTAGCCGGTGGGGTGAGAGGCTGTGGGGTCTTACCTATAAATGGTTAAAACTTCATACAGGAATCAGATCACAAGGTAGGAACCACAGTGACTTGAGGGTGAGGAAAGCAGGTGCCAAGGTGGGGGGGCTTGAGGAGAACAGTGAAGGTCTGAAAACTCCACAAAACTGGGAAAGGACAAGGGAAGGTCAGGGAACGCTAAGACCTGGCTGAGGCAGCTGAGCACGAATTAGAAAATCTCTGGTCTGCACTGTTCTGTGGTTTCTCTCCATTAGCTGGCGACAGCCAGTAAATAAATAAGCAAGAACGCATTCCGTAGGTATCCCATAGCTCTGTCTCTTTTCACAGGCCCCCTCCCTACACCCTTCTCTTCCGTTCCTTGGCAGCCAGAAGTCAGGGAGCAAGCCTGGGTGGTTAGGATGAGCAAGCTGGGGTAGCGGGGTGCCTGGGGAAGATGGAAAGGAGAGCGCTGATCTCCAAGGAGCCTCCTGCTTCAGAACCACGTGGGGCTGGCGCACACTTGCGCCTCACCCTCTCCATTGTTGCCAAAGCTTAAGTTATACATCCGTGATCTTTGATACCTGGTGCGATTTGTCCTCTCTGTGCAGAGCTCTGGAGAATGAAGGGTTTGAAATAGTTGAGAGGGGCGAAATCGAAGTGAAAGGGAAAGGGAAAATGACCACCTACTTTCTGATCCGGAACCTGCATGCCTCGGAGGACGAGATCATGGGCAGACCTCACAGCCGGCTTGATCGCAAGGGTGAGCAGAAAAGAGAAGCCGCATCTCAGTGTCAGATATTTTTTCCACTAACAATTTCAGATGTGTTTAGTGGGGCCCTTGGGCATGTGGGGTCGGCGTGGGTCATCCCTTTGCACGACTTTCTTTGGGTCGAGGCTCCCAAGGATCAGAGCAACCAGGATGAACACTTGCATCCGGGGTAGTCTGATGCCCCTGGAGCTGGGCTGATGGGCCCAGCCTAAAGGGTCCCTCATGCATTCATTTTCAAGGTTCTTGCCGGTCCCACAAGGGGGCTTTCACATCTGTCTGTCCTGCAGCTGGGGGATGCCTTTAGAAGCTCTCTGCTTCTCAGCCTCAGAGGAGACTCCAGGACTGGCTTTCCTCACACCCTGAAACCATCCACCTTTCTCATTTTCTGCTGGCTTCTAAAACTGGGAAGAAGGACAAAATCTGTGACTCACACAGCCCCAGGAATGACGGGAGAGTGAGTTTAGGTTAAAACAACCCAGTGCTAAGCCAGCCCAGGGATCACCATTTGGCTCACAGTGCCGCAGCAGATGGAATCCAATGAGGAGGTTTCTATCGGCTGCCAGGCAGGCCCCTCCGCCCCACACGGTCAGGGCCCCTTAACATCTGCCCTGGTTAATGCTGGGAGGTGCTGACCCGACCGGGAAACCCAGGAGCAGGAGGAAAACCTCCCTGAACCTCTGAAGCAAAGTGGAGGAGGAAGTGGATTCGTTCTGACAGGAGCTAATCTCTAGCTGCTCCAGGGGCTTGCCAAGGAAAATCTCGAAACCCAGGGGTTTCTGGTTGCTAATACGTGCGGGAGTTCTCTTTGGGACACATGGGTTAACGTTACTATTTTTTAAAGTGGGGCTATCCCAATAAAGAGATGGGTATTTAAAGAGCTTGAAATATTGTTTTCATAGCACGTTCACCTCGCATCGGTCTCCCTGTGAGCTGGGACGGGTTGGGGCCACATTTGACTGATACAGACACTGAGATAGAGAGATCTAAGTTAAAAACTAGGAATAACTTTGGCTGGTATAGACCAGAGGGCACCCTTAACAGAGTTTTGGGCCTGAATTTCTAGGCTCAAGGTGCCTCGCCCATGACATCACCTTCTCCCTCCCACCAGCATGCCCTCCCCACAGGGAGGATTGCCAGAAAGGGAGAAGCAAGGCTCCCCCCCCCCCACACACTTTTTTGCTTTGTTGTCAGAACTAGACAAAGTAAATGGGGAGAGGCGTTGTGCCACCTGATTGTGTGAGAGGAGAGACAGAGCTGGAGGCTTTAGCACCAGGACGCAACAGCATCCAGCCCAGATGCACCTAGCTGAAACTCCATACCGCTTTCTCCCTTGTTGCCCCCGCAGGGGTTCTCAGATGGGAAAGTTTGAGAAACAGGATCCTAGAACATGGCGTGGGTCAGTCGACTCTAAACCGCGTTCGGTTCTGAGCTGGAAAAACAATACTAACCAACAGCAGGATATGAGTAAGCTGCCTCAGTTAAAGATTTCACTGTGGACCTTGAGAAAGAGAAAGGGTGTGAAAGAGAGGGAGGGCTAGCCCCTTCTGGACCCTAAACAGCATCTCTGTGCAAGTTGGGGAAAAGCACACTTTGGGGGGGGGTAGATATCTCCCCAGGTATGGTTGATGGCAAAGGAAAGTCACCTGTTCCTCTGGGCTGACGTCAGCCCCACTCCTGACCTCCTTGGCCAGGTATCTCCATGCAGAGAAATGGCAGAAAGATCTCAGCCTTTTTTCTTTCCATGCTTCTCTCCATTTCCCCCTCCCCATCAGCCTAGGATCTCCTGCCAGGAGCGGAGGTTCGAGCCCTGGGGAAGGGAGTGCCTGCCCCTCCCATCCCCACTGCAGCACAGTGCTGGAGATGGCCCCCAAACATGATCCCATTAGCCTGCAGGGGCCAAGGGGCTTTGCCCCACACAGCAAGACCCAGCCTCTCAAAGCCAGTGATGGGGGAGGGGGATACAGAAACACTAATATGCACGCTAATGTTCTTCCCGAATTGGCCTCTTTCCTCAGATTATCTCCCATAGGACACACACACTGGTGTTTTGGGTGATTTGGGGGAGGAGCGGGAAGAAGTCCAAGGAGATGAAAGTGAGCAGAGTGGCACTGAGGCCCACGCTAAGAACTATGGGTAACTGCAGTGGAGCAGGGTGAGGGGGCCTCAGCAGTGACCTTCCGGTGCCCTTGTGGGTCCGAGCTCCTCCCCCACCTGGCAGGAGGGGACACCCGGGAGGTAACAGGAGCAAGAAAGGATGGCACCCCGGAGCGCTCTTGCTCAAACCATTCTCCTTTCTCCCTTTTGTTCTCCAAAGCAAGTGCATTTACTGATTCATCTTCTAGCTGGTGAATGCGTTAAACATATTAAATGGCACATAATCTCCCCAGACATTTAACAGGTGGAACCACTGTCCAGCAAGTCCTTCACACGACGGGCACCTGAGGAAATACCCACGGGGCTGCTGATGTTCAGAGGCACCAAAGAAAGGCCCCCACTTCTGCAGCTCATGAGGTTGGCTTGCCACCCTCACTTTCCCTTCCCCACCTGCTTGTTTGCAGAAGCAAGTACTCAAGGACGTCAAGACAGAGCAGCTGTTGCCATCATGCAGTACAAGGACAGTAGGCAGCTGTCCCTGAAGAGTGACACAGCAGATGGTGAGTTCACTGACCACTACAGACACCCCCAGCGCCGCGGAGCAGGAGAATCGGTGGGTTCAGAGGTGTGGCTCGTGGGGGGGTGAGGCAGCTCAGGTGGAGTCCCTGCCTTCATACAGCCTGCGTTTTAGTTGTGGAAGACACACAACATAGGGCAAATAAATAAGATCACCTTAGGGAGCGACCGATGTTAGGAAGGAAATGAAAAACTGGGCAATGGAGAAGAGGGCAATGGAGGCTCCTTTGGGGCAGCAGCATTTAAGCTGAAATGTGCAGGATAAGAGCCAGCCATGTGGCTGTCATGGGGACTTTCAGACAGAGCCATGGTCTAAGCAAACATGAGCATGGTCAATTAAAAGAAGAAGAAGAAGAAGAAGAAGAAGAAGAAGAAGAAGAAGAAGAA